AGTAAAATCCGAATCGATCGGCCCCGACTATACTAACAATTCTAACATGATCCACGCGTTCTTTAACCGACGTGTCTATACTAATCCGTTTTGCCTTGCGCTTGTTTAATATTCTCGTACTTGTCTTCCCAGCAGCCACGAAATACCCTCATCTGGTGATTTCTTTCAGATCTAAAAGCGAAACTACTACCGAAAGCAGCGAAACCGTGCACGAGGAAGCCGAACCTGCGATCTAAAAAAATATATAAAAAATAAAATAAAATCTTAAACGAATTACGCGAGCAAATCGCGTATTAACCAATAAAAAGAAAATTACACACACACACAGAACACCCGAAAGATACGGTTTTTCGTTCCTCGAATTTCTTTTTTTTTTATATATACAGACACACACAAACATATGCCATTGCGTAAACTCACGGAGGACAAACACAGAGAAACACACCACGGAACAAGGCCCTAGAGAAGCGGAAGGCTATTTATTCGACACGATGAATGCTTAACTGAGGAAAACAATAAATCGATTTGTTTGGTACAACAGAAGCAACACTTGATTCGACGTTTTCTAATCTGACGATGCACGAAGCTCTCTTGAGATTCATCCTAACTCCCAATCTATGAAACGTTCTGTTTCCTCATCGATCGATGAAGAACGAACGCGATGAATCGATCCTCGATACCTTGAGTGGAACGGTTTCCTCTGAAATTTACTTCATTATTGGAATTCTTAACCTTTGACTGTATCGTAGGATAGAATCGCAACTATTTCCACTCGTTTGTACAGAAAATTCTTTCTGACTAGTCACAGAAATTATTTATTACATTTATCTTTACGTAAAATTCAAAAGAATAGGTATTGAACGGTTCAAAGATTAATCAATTGTTTTACAATTAATTCTGAAGCACTGTAGCATTGAATTCGATCATTTTTTAACTCAGCAAACAGTCGAGTCTATCCTATCGATCAAAAAGTTAAATTATAACATTCCAATATTTAAAGTATTACAATACCGTAAATCACAAAATTCCTATTTATTCCAGTTTCAACCGGTCAAACTGACGCCTCGGTAGAGAGTAGTCGTTCGAAAACAATCCGTTTACCATGTACCATCCATCACGTTTACGACTCCACCGAAGACTCGTAAAATCCCAATCCAGTGAACGACCACCTTGAACGTATAAACGACGCTAACATCCGTATACTAAACAAAATATTGTTCAAACACGAGGTTCCAGTGGTTCGTTGTGTAATGTTTCGGTGACAACGCGTATCAGTTTCTGCGAAAATACGAAGGTGAATCATACCTCGAACATAATCGTTGTTAATCGAACATCAAACATCGTTGGTTTCGATAGTTCGGTGGAGGGGACCTAACGACGAAGAATATGCCCGATGTTTGATCAGGATTGACGCGAGCACGGTTGTTGGCCCACGTCATGTTTCACCCCCCGTTCGATTCTCTTGCCTGGTGAAAAAAACAACATCTCGAGGATGCATCACCTATTCTAGTTTACCAGGTCAGTTATCACTTGCGACGAAACGTCACTGTACCATTAGCGTGCTCCCGTTTGACGTCATTGTTTCATATAAATGCCGCAAGGATGCGTTGTCCGGACACAAACCTGCCACGGAGTTGTTTCAGACAGATCTAGTGGATTTTTAACTGACCAGACGCTGTTTAGATTCGTTCGACAGTTTTCTTAACATTTTACTTTTTTGTTGAGTGATAATTTTTGAGTGAATTCATCAAGCACAATCCTTGAGAGGGTAGCTGAGTTTTGAAGATTGGAAGAGTGATTCTGAAATTCGAGGGAGACTTCTAAATTAAAATAACAAAATGGTAAGACCATGTTCAAGTGTAGATTATTTGGTTAACATAAAAAATGTAAAAACTTTTAAAGTATCCAATTTAGAATTTTACTAGAAAGAACTACTTTTTTTCCAAATGTAGATAAAACGACAAAAATTTAAAAATTACATATTTCTCTTTTCAGAAAACCATCGTAGTTGCTTTTCTCGTAGCCCTCTTCGGCTATAGCGCCGCACTTCCGGTTAAACTGGAGGATAACCCCAGCCCAGTCGTTGGAATTCCAATTCTTTTCCAAGAATCGACTGGATTGGAGAACAAAGGACAGTATGGCTCATCTCCAATCATATATGGGCTTCTGTTGAGCAAATTGGACAGACTAGAGGAGGATGTCAATAGCGGTTTGATTGAGAAACGGGAGGTGAAGGAGAATGACCAAGAGGACCTCGAAACCGCAGCTGGCACTTATGCTCTTCGACCACTGTTCGTCTATCGACAGCAATTGGCATACAAGCAGCGGGTCAGGGAAGCATATCGCCGTAGAAGCCCCTTCTGAGTCATATTAATGGGACTGGTTATGTCGTTGACAACCTGACGATCGAAAGGACAACGATTTGGAAACCAAAGAGGCGCGTACGATTCGCATTCCACGATTCGTAATCGGATATTTATTGGGGATTTAAGATTCTTTCGATGGACTCGGGGGAATCTGATGAGAAATAAGACAGAATTAGCTACGTTTAAGTGGAAAGTAAAATTGACTAAGAATGGGATATTCGAAGTAAGGGAAAACCGAATTGAAAGGAGTCTGATGAAAATTAAGGCTTAAAAAAGAGAATCCAAGAATCTGAAAGTAGTCCACTTAAAATGGAAATCACTGGAAGAAAATTTCTCTACCGTTCAATTTTTGAAGATGAACTGAACACTAACAAACACAGTAGAATCTTCTAAAAACCTACAGACAATTTTCTGCGTTGGAAAAACTACCGCAGCCGACACGAGGACGGAGAAGGTCATTGAAGACGGAAGTGAATTCGTCTTCGCGTAGGCTGCGCCACCTTGCGTGCTCGTTAGTAAACGAGTACAAATAGTAGGGCTGCTAATTGGACGAGCAAATAGTTCACGTAACAAACGGTAACGTAATTCTTGCAGCAAAACCAGAACAATCCTGATATTTAATGAGTTAGTCAAATGTTCAATTGTATATTTTATATGATAGGGTACAAAGTTTGTACTATTTTTTTTTTTCTGTAAGCTAAGATTCTAGTTTATAATATTGTGTGAAAGAGTGAACTGGTATTGTAAAATAGAACTCTAGTACTTAAGAGAAAGCTACCCACCAAAGCAAACATTACAAATGTGTCTATTTAAAACAGTATAGTCATAAATATACTATGATGTTATTAATGAACCATTTTTGTGATACGTTTTTTATGTATACCTCTAAATAATATTGACTAATAAAATTGTTTTAATAATGTACATATGTCTCAATGAATTTTTTTGTCCTTTTTATAAATACGTTTATTGCAAACAAGTATTAGTCACATAGCTACAACTGCTACAAAGATTCTATTTACCAGGGAATATGGGAATCTTTATAAACTTATGATGAGATTGTCTCTCATAGCTGGACCAGTATCTCTTGTCAAAGGATGGCTCATGATACCAATTAGAGTACAATCTATTCCTATCCTCAGATTTTTCCAGAGTTTCCTTAGAGAGTTTTGCACTCCTTTCTTCTCGGACTTCCATATCCATGGAACTTATTTCTACAGGATCAAGCTGACTGGATTCTTCATTGGATTGTGTATTTGATGCATCTTCTGTTTCTTCTTCTATGGTCTCACCATCATTATTTTGGGATGAATCTTCCATAATTATTCCTTGACTAGAGCCAGAAGGTTCTGGAGGTTCATCTGAATTTGATGGTTCTGTGTCTTTTGTTCCTTCTTCATCATCTCTTCTAACACGGTTCCAATGCTCTGGTACAGAATTCTGAATTGATTTTTTAAGTATTCTGATTATTTGCTGACTATCTTCTTCATCTATGCCATTTTTAGGACTCTCTGTAGTGTCTTCTAATTCTTCATCAATGGAACTTTTACTATTCATTTTTAATGACTCACTTATTAAAGATTCTGAAGTTGTTTTAGCTTTAGAATTCATTAAACTTGATTCATGTTTAGAAGTATCATATATCTTTTCATTGTAACTTTTTACTAATTGAGAATTATTAATATTCGTGTTTACATTAGAGACATTAGAAGTTGTAGATAGCGTTGAAAGTATCCTCGTCTCTAAAACGCTGCATTCAAGCTGTTGAGGAACCTTCAATAAGAGGATTAAACTGAAGAGATAGACAGAATGTTCCATTTTGTTCTGTTGTTACTGTTGAAGAGGCTTAAAATCGGTGTCAATATTTGTTCAATAAATTCGGTCACGATACGAGCTGTCCAGATGGCAATGGTGAACTAACAGCACAGAAAGTGGTGTTCCCTCTTTTATAGCTGGCTAATATTGAAGCTACCGCTAAATCGATCGCTAAACATTTAAATATTGTTAACGACGTACCAACTGCGAAATTAGTGTCGGAAGAATTCCGATGATCCACAAAGATGTTTACATAGCCAGAATTCTATTACATGCAAAAATACATATACAAAACAAATAAAAATGGAGCCCACTACACGAAGCTAATTCTCTTCAACGTTCGATCATTTGATGGTGTTTCATTATTTCATAATGATTGAATAAAGTATACTGGACCACTAAACAAAATTTTTAATAAAATATAAGAGAGTACTGTAATACCTGAATTAATATTAAAATTTAATTATAGATTCTGCGTCTAATAAGCTTCGGCTTAACACGTTGCAATCCCGTTGAGTGTAAATTGCTCGACTATTAGCTGTTTAGATTCTCCACAACAGATGTCTATAGTCATGGTGGTCAATAAGGAAGAAATTACGCTATTTTCTTCTTTCGTGAGATTTCAACATCTTCCACTTATCAAATCTTTATTAAAATGAATAATAAAGTATTTCTGTACTTCTGAACTTTGATAAATTTAACGTAAAAAAATTTTTTTTTTTATAATTTTACAAAACGTTTCATGCAACTGTGACTATAATAAATTTGATATACATTAATATTCATTATTATAACTTACTAGATTTTTACTCCGCTGGTAAAGTGAACACCAGGATTAGTTTTTCGTTAACAGAGATTAAGGTCGTGAATCAAGAACGAGCAAACGAGAAATTAAAGCCGAGGAGACAGGTTCAAGGTGCAGTTGTGGCCAAAGTGATGTACCGCAAGGTTGATACTCACGTCTGTTAGCAGGACAACGATAATTCTTTCGATACCTGGTATAAAACATGAACGGACCGTTATTGCTAGTCAGAGTCGAAAAGGCATTACTCAAGTTTTGGTCGAAAAGAAGAAAATTCAAGAGACGTGGAGGAAAATCCTCAGGAGACGTTCAGGACGAAAAAAAATGAAGCACAAAATGGTATCACGGGGGGGTCTGAATGTTAACGTTAAAATTGAAGTATATAAACATCGTATAATTATTGAAATTTAAAATATTGCGCAGTACTTATTCAAGTGAAGATATTTCTTATGTTAATTTTCATATTGATGTAATCTTTAATTTTATTGTTAATTAAACAATGCAGAATTTGAAACATGTGTTAATACTAACGTTTTTCAAGTGGTACATTTAAAAATATTACCTTTTTCTTTTTTTTCATTTCAATTACTTCCAATTTCTTCGTTAATTTTAAATATTTCTTTTCATTTAAAAGTATTACTTCTACATTTTTTTCATTTCAATTATCTTTCATTTCATTGTTAATTAAGTCATGGAAACTTCAAGAGAGGTGTTAATATTACTGTTGTCAAGTGCTATATTTAAAAGTACACCTTGCAATATTGCGTAATAATCTCAGAATTCAGTGTACACATTCGTAAATATAGTTTCTCAATTTTTCTTGAAAAATTTCTCACGATCTCAGAAAAATTGCAATTTTTCATTGTTCTACTTTTTCTTCATTTTAAGCATGACACGTTACGTTTCTTTTTCAGAGTGTCACGTTTCAATTAGCTGTTTTCTTAATCCCGATATTTTTCGGAGAGATTTCAATGGGGAAACCGCTGACTCCTGAAGACGTGGAGGGTTTGTTACCACCGACTCCACAAGATAGAAATGAAACCATAGCTGCAGTCGTTCAGGATCCAGTTGTCCAAGATGCTGTGCATCATGCAGCCAGTAATGGATCTTTGAATGGACTGGTTGTTAAGAAGAATGTCTTCATAATGCCAGCCACTAATCCAAATTTGGTTTGTACTAAAAAAGAAAAGAAGAAAATACAATTTTAATTTAAATAAAATTACCATACTTGATTTTATTAATTTTAATAAAATTACTACGTGAATTGAGCGGTGTAATTGGAAAAGATTAACTTTCAAAATTAGTCCTTGAAATATATTCACGTGGGATTTATTGAAAATTTTATTTATAAAAAAATGATTGATTAATTTTCGTTTAAGGTGCTCTCAAAACGTGAGCACATTCTGGTCGTTCCCACCGAAAACTTGGAAGACGTACGAAAGAATATTACGGAGACGAAGCAAGCACAGGCTCAAGAGACCTCCACGTTAGAAAATCAAGCATTCTTCGAAGACGACGCAAGTGAATACGCGCCAGAGGTAATGTATAATAATTCAACGTGAACATTCCAATCAGATCTTCATTCTTGATAGAGAATACACGGTTGAGCGTGTCAAACTGATCACGCGAGAGAACGTCGATCTTGTGTTTAGATAAATTCATCGATTAATTATTTATATCTTTGTCGATATTAAACATTGTACCGCGAAAAATCAATTCCTCTGCGAAATTTTACACGAATCAATGTTACTCTTTTGTAAATCCAACAATTTTTCGAAAAGAAAGAAGAAATTACCGATCAGTTTGCTAGTTTCTTATTAACAATAATTAGAAAAAAGAAGAGAAAAAAACAATTTCTTATTTTCTTCGATTTCCAGGAAGGCGAAAGTGGATCAGAAGAAAGTAAAAGTGAAGGAAATAAAATGGCAAAGGAATCGACATTATCGAATGAGAAACGCAAAAGCGAAACTGAATTCCTGAAAGACAAGATTATTAATTCCGGCTCAGCGATACCGGAGGACACTTCTGCTTCGAAGAAGGTGGCAGTTCCTATTGTAGCGGTCATCGATCCTTCTAACGCTAAAAAGGGCAAGGTGAACAGCCCAATCGTGGCGATTTTACCCAATCAGGTGAACAACGGTGCTCTGAACAATCAGGTTCAATTTTTGAAGGACAACAGCGAGAAGATCCAGAAGAAGGCGCAGGATTACGTGGACAAGAGCTCGTTGACAGTAAATACTGATTATTGGACGTCGTCCACGCCGTCGGAGGTAAAATAAAAAACAAAAAAATAAAAGCATTATAGAAAGAGGAATATTAGAATGTGTACAGTGTAGATGTTCTTCGGTATTTTAAAAGAAATGAAAATAAAGAAGTAGAAAAAAGTTCAAAGAAATGTTGAAAAATTGGAAAGCAAAGATATGGACAAAAAGATTGAGATAGAAGAGATCTTAAAGATACTGAAACATAATAAAGGAATATGCCTATATTACATTATTTGTAAAAAGAAAGAGATGAAAATTGAAAGAATTCCAGCACAACTATCTACAAAAAAGAGAAAAAAAAGACTGAAGAAATAAAAATACTCGCTATATCACATGTCACAAATAATAAAAGAATTCTTTTACTCCTTTCAGCCTGCTATTGTCTCATCGCCGACACAAGGAACCGTTCCAGCCTCTCTGTTCACGGACCGCGAGCCACCGAGCTACACGGAAGACATATTTCTGACGCCGGTGATGGTCTCGCAATGGGATGTGTTCGTGCCATCTTTAAAGGACAACGACCAGACGGATTACTCGGGAGAAACAGGTGACATGGACGTTGCTGAAGACGTTATATTTAGGCCACTGTTTAGATACCGACAGGAAACGCAGCAGCGGTCTAGATACAATGACGAAAACAATCGACGATACGGTAGCTACGGCGATTATTATCCGAGACGCGCTTATGTTTACAGACCTCGATACGACGATTATTAGAAACGAGGAGGATTAGCTTGAAAGGACGAAGAGGGGGAATTTACGCTTGGATAAACGAGAACGGAAGACATTTTGGTGTAACGCGTTCGTTGTGTAACTGTGTCCGCCTATGCGCCATGATTATACACATACTAGACGCTTTTATTGGCAATAAATATTTGTTTCGTTTCATAACGAGTTTTCGTTTAATGATCACAGGTGAACCGATGATGAGGGAGAAGAAGAGATATTTTCGTTGTGTGATAGAATTGCGCGTTGAACTTTTGAATATTTCTTCTTAGAGAATCTTAGAATGTTGCTTTTATACAGGATGTTTCATTTGACAATGAACGTTTATGTTACTTCTGCTGCTGTTTAAAAGTGAGAAGAAATATATCAGCAGGAGAGTTTATATGGTTTAAGAATGTGCGTCTAATGATGATAAACAAAAAAAAACTTTCCAAAGAATAATTACAATAATTACGATCTTGATGCACATTCTTAAACCATATAAACTGCTCTCAGTTATTTTTTCTCACTTTCAATAGAAGCGAGTTTTTAAATACTCGTTACAAGTGAAACAGCCTGTACACTTGTATTTATATTTCTTTGTATTATTTTTATAATATTTGAAAAACTTTTTCAAACGAATAACGAAGAATGAGAAGAAACAGTTTTTATCGTGGATTTAAAGAAAATGTGGATCGTTTTTGAATAAAAAAAAAATTCCAAGAAAGAAACTGAACGACAATGTTTGTTTTTCGTGTTGAACATTAATAGAAGGTGCGACACGACGGCAATCGACAGCGCGTACATGTAAAAACATGTGAAAACGCGTTGAAGCTGTCTTAAGGTTGTCAAGATGATTAAAACATTATAAACGATGACAAGGTTGACAAGGAATGAGGACCTCAATGGCGTCGACTCTATTTCCGGACAACGTTTATTTCCTCGAGGAAGAGCCTGACTGCGTCGACCTTTTCACGCGGCTCAATCCTCAAATCAACCTATAAATCCCTCCTGAAACATCGATCCTTACATGAGAACCGTACGAACGTCATTCTTCGCTTCGGACATTACGTAGAATTACTGACATGATGAAGAAATTCGCGATAATTTCGAACGCTGGCATTTGACCTCGATCTTTAATTAAAAAACTTTCATTATAAACTCGCGTGTTTCTTCGAGAGGATTGATCTCACTTCGAAGAAATTCGTGGCGTGATAAACAAGAACTGTTAATTCCAATTGTGGAACGCGTATAAAGTATCAATAATAAATGATAATTCCGCGTAATTTTTGAGAATTCCGGAGCATCTGGATATTCAATGAAAAAGAAAAAGAAGAAAATCACGCGTGTCATTTCCGACATACTTTTATTATAAACTCGCGTGTTTCTTTAAGAAAGTTGATGTCACTTCGAAGAAATTCAATAATAAATCTGATAAACAGAAACTGTTCATTAAAATCGTCGGACGTGAATAAAATATTTCTTAATACTAAATAATTCACAAGAATTTTCGAGGAATTTCTGACCGAATTTGTGTCATTTCCTCTTCACTGAACTGAACAGATTTATTCGCAGATGAACGTGTTTATAACGGTTGCATAGTTATTCCACGAACATCAACAAACTAGTTATTCTACGAATGAATCTCGATAGGCTCATCGTAGACCTCAATTAACGCGACATCGTTAATGCCTGCAGGCAAGATACTTAGTCATTCACTTGTTCCTCAATCCATTCATCGGATATGTCGAGCGGAGGGTGTATGCAAATGTTTCACAATCCGCTGAGTGTACGTTTAACACCTTGGAAAAATGTCGACTAACTGGTCCAGGAAATATCCCGATGAAACTCTGAACGCTAATGCGCAGAATAAATGGAATACCGCGAAGTTTTCAAGGTGTAAAATGAGGGTTTAATTTTTCTGGTATTTCTGGAACAATGACAAAAGAGGGATGAAAATTGCACAAGTATAGTCGATGAAAACGATATAGTGAAAAATTGAGCTGCAGTTGTTAAGGATTCAGATGCAAACAAATTTTTTTAAATATCTTTCTGTTTGAAGATTACTTCCATATAAGTGTTAACATATTTTTGAACCACCCTGTATATTCTGATATTCGTTCAATCTATCTAAACTTAGAAATCTATATGGACTAAATGTAAAAGGCAAATTCTGCAGCTTGAAATAAAAATGTAATTACCTTACAGTTTCTTTCAAATTTCCAAACATTCGCATGTTTCAAAGTAACGTCGCAATGTTACACAACAAAGAAAGATTTCGATAGAGATAAAAATGGAAGAAGCTGCAAACGATATTGCTATCAAATTACGTGGAATCAGAGGTCGAGGAAGAGAGGTCTTCGACGATATAACAGAAGATACGCAATACTCGAGCTTTCTCGTCGAAGAAAGAAGTAAACAGGACCATCTTTCCCTTCCTTTTCCCTCGAGGATCACCCGCGAAGGTGACTCACTTCTAAACTGGAAGCTTCAGCTACATCTTCTCTCTCTCTGTGAAACGTAGAACGTGTCAGCTTGATTATGTTCCTCGAGATCGTGAACGCGCCACGTATATAACCGATGCTCCGTCAATCTACTCCCTCAATCGCGATCTAAGTGCCGCTATAAACGGAAACTGCTTTTCTGGCTTCAGCATCCTGCAAGAGTGAACTTCACGCGCCATGCGGACTGTACTAGTGGTGAGAAGAAAATTCTTAATATTAACAATTTTGCTGTCCACGAAGTACAAATACAAAGTTAATTTAAATCACAAATTACCTCGCCTTTCTCAGGAGACATTTCTTAAATTTAAATAACACTGTTAATTTAATTATTTTCATAACAATTGAAACGTAGATTTTTCTGTGTGTACCTGGACGAATTGAAACTGTCCTGAGTCATATGTGGTTCAGTGAACCTGTTAGGATTATCCAAGGATTATTGTGATTTGTAGATTGAACGTGCATATATTAAAGTAGAAGTGGAGATGTTAATTTTGGGATGTTGTTCAATGTTCCAAGTTGGTTTCTATTCTATGGACGAATTTGTAAAGATTATTGTAGAGAGTGCTTCAACAAAATGTTATATGGAAAATTTGTATATATATGTACATACACCATTGTCTATAAGTATTTGAACTATTGATCTTGCATGAAGAAAAAATTATGCGTGTATCAGCAACGATTGTTTATCAGAATGTTGAAAACAGTGTGGTTTATGTAACTGAAAACGCAAAAGGAAGTCGATAATTATTTCCACGTTCGATAAGGATTATCTAAAAACCGCAAAATACGTTTTTAAACTATATAATTAAAAAATAATTAAGAAGATACACCTTTTTTTTTGTTCTTTTAATTAATTTTTTCCTTTGAAAAATTCCTGCAGGTTCTTTGCTTGATAGCATCGTTCGATGTGAACGCTGCAGAAAGATCGTTCCACGCAGAGTCTTCTTTAGAACGATCTGATTCTACTGCGTCAGGATCGAGCAATGTGGATGAGATACCGGTCAGACTTCCAAGAAAATTCCGAGGAAACAGTCGTACCAGGAGAGTGCACATAGAAAATCAGCATGGATTCGATGGAAAAGTGGAGAAGATTCACATTAATTCCGAGGAGGACCTTCCTGGAGTTCGAGCATACGGTCTGCAGAAGATGAATTTGGCTAATAATGGTCACATAGAGAAGATGACAAGAAAAGAAGTGATGGAAGGCATTAACGATGCGTCGAGGGTTGCTCGTTCGGTATGTAAAAATGCAATGCAATATACTTTCTTTATTTTTACCTGTTTCGTGTTATCGCATTCCGTATGGTTCGCTCATATTTTTTCTATTAACTTCATTACTGTGCAACATTTGCAAACATTGACAAAGAAATGTTTCATAGACTCTGATCTTATTTAAGTTTGAATAACCTAATAATGCGGGAAAGTAACCTCGACCTTTAGCCAAGAAAATGTGGTATCGGTATGTTTGCAATTTAAAAAGGAACACTAAATGTTATAAAACTAAATAAAAAGTTTAAACTGGTTATTGGGTGACGCACATAAAAACACCCTCGAACGCAAAATACAGTTTTATTTGGTAAGAATGTACTGTAAATTTCAGTTACATTTGGTTAGGTTCAATGAACTCATATGCGCATGCGCAACAACGTAGAATAACGTCGAGTGCGACATATGGAAATACGCAATATAACCTTAAAATTTAATTTAAAAATAATTGAATTATTCGTTCTATTCCAGATCAAGGTCTACGGGAAGTCCAAAGAGAATCTCCACATGAATGGTGAAATTGTGAGAGTAGAACCTCCAATACCCTCGTTTAGACATCAAGCTCCAGTCAATTCACACACCAGACTAACCAGATCCATAGAAACAGTGCCAAAACAAGATGAACCTACCAACGATTTGGAAGATTTAGAAGCCCAAGATGCCAAAGTCTTCAGACCTCTCTTTGTCTATAGGCAACAGGTGGCAAAGCGGCAGCACAGGGCAAGAAATCAGTTACACGGTTTTCAATCTAATCAAAAACCTTTCTACGATCATCGACTAATTTTCTGAAAACATTTCCTCCAGTGTTCGCCAAGTTACATCTCGTGGCGTGCAATACAGTTTTACGATAGCATGCAAACAAGAAATCGATGGACGTAGTGTTTGCATTGCGATGGGTCCTTGGAGGCGACTAATTATCATAATAATTAACCGATTGAGTCAGCGTCGCTTTTGTGCCATAAAAGAAGAAAACGGTATACGCTGCCGCTGACAATGACTTGCTACGATAATCGAAAGTGTCGGTAATCGCGGTCGATGACAGTGAAAAGAGAAAATACCAAATAGTATTAGCGTATGAGTAAGACGTTCGAGATTCGATTAATACCGTTAGAGATGTAATTCTGAAATTAAGTACGCTTTATTTTACTACGTGTGTTACGAGTTTGTATGCACATGGTCAGTATAATTTAATCGTTTATTATTGAAAGGGCACATGTCCAAAGATTGTGATCGTGAAGGAAGAACAATAAAATTTTTTTCACTAAAACTATAAAATATGTTGTAATGTTTTACCCTCTGAGTTAAAGCACTTTATTTTATTTATTTGTGAAAGAAATAAATGAGATTTTATCGACAGATGAATTCGACAGACCTGTTGAATTCTTTCCGTTCTATACCTACATTTTGTTCACCTCGTCGATTGAAATTGCATGGAAACAGATGAGAGATGGCGATGACCTGTCTTCTATGTTCAAATCGACTATGTTTGAGACGTCCAATTTTTCTCACTTGATAAATCTAAAATGAGATACATTACTCTCAAATTTCTTGGTATTTCCTATACCTCGTGAATACAAATAAAAGAGGATCATTTTTCAGAAAATATTATACGATATCGTTCGACATGTGCAACAAAAAGAAATTGGTTATACCCATAGCCACTAAAAGCCAAGTGGACAATAGTAGTAGTACAAACGAGGTAATTGTAAAGAAGGAAAATAATGAAAAAATAGAAGACAGGTACCTGACGATTTATGCAATATTATAAAATTCATGAAATTAATAACAATGATGAAATAAGTACGTAATTTTAGACAAAGATCTCGTAAGAAATTGGCACTTCTTCACACAATATCTTTGATCTTGCTACACCTGCTGGATGCAATACTCTTAATTATTCTTCTACCGTATATAATCTGGCAATGGGTTTCCGGCAGAGATCGTTTAAAGATCATTCTAAAATCCATCGTGGAAGTGAGCTTTCTCGTCGTTTTATATAAATTGAAATTTTCAATTTAAATACAGTGAAGTTAATCTTAAAATCTTAAACAAAAAAAATAAAATAAAAAATTCACTTAGGTCACAGGAGAGCTGATCATGTGGGCGATCTTCGCCGGTGTGTCTATCCTTATGACTATCGCATTCGTTCTGGAGGATGTTTACTTTCGTAAGAACGACCATAAGAAATTAAGACAATTAACGAAGG